CGTGGACAAGACGGTAGACACACGTACATAAATACCTGATGCATTTGTGTGCAGAACCTTGTACTTCTGCAGCGTATACCCATGCCAGCCTCCATCGTGACACTTACATACATGGATGCGTGCCTGCATGTATGTATCTATCTATGTACCTATGGTTCTCAACCCAGTTGAATATCTGCTATCTATCTCCATCCATCGAGTTGTGTACGTGTGCACGCGTGTCCGTATGCTTCTGTGCCTGTCTGTCTGCACGTATGAAAGCTTGCATGAATGTATGCATGCACGCATGCATACTTGTAAGTAAACATGTATTTATGCAAGTAAGTAAGTAAGTAAGTAAGTGGGCAAGTACGTAAGCGAGAAAGTACATGTATGTATGTATGTATGTATGCATGTATGTATATGTATGTACGTATGTATGTACGTATGTATGTATGCATGCATGTGTGTGTATGCATGTATGTCTGTATGTCTGTATATCCGTTTGTCGGTCTGTCTGTCTGTCTGTCTGTCTGTCTGCCGGTGTGTCTGTATGTATGTATATGTGGTTGCGCATGTCTTCGCTTAGGCCGACAGGCAAACTTCGGGCTAGCCGAGGGTCTCGGAACATTCGGGCTACCTTGACACCGCCCCTATGCAGAAACAGTCCCTAATAGAGCTACCATTAGTTGCCTTTATATCTGTATAATAGTAAGCGCTATCCAACTGTTATTGAGTCGGGGCAGTACCCAAGGGCTACCCTGCATAGGCTCGTGATGGGGTCCCGTCCATGTGACGCCTTGCGAAGGAAGCCTATCAAGATGTCTCCAGGCTTACTTCTCTAGTATCCTGGCGGAGCTAAAGCCTATCATTTTGGTACTATCCCGCAAATGTTAATCACCTGACCTGCTACTCAGCAATGTTCGGAAAATCTATTGGTCGATTGTATGAAATTACCGGGGCTAGGGTTTAGGGGGTTTAGGGGTTAAGGTCTTAGCGACCAGGCATATCCAGGCAGTCCTCCTGGCAAAGTCTGGCGGCCTCCTCGGCGATATCAATGCAACCTGTGCGGACGAAAACCCTGCATCTCAAAATCGTGAGATTTCAAACCCTAACAGGAAATCCCAAACCCCCAAACCCACCTCACAATTGAGGGTTGTGGAGACCCCCAAAGAGACCCAAGGACTCTCCCTAGGTCATTCCGGACCCTCCTGAGGAGATATTTGGACACTTAGGGTACACCCCACACCCTGAAGCTCCAAACTTAAACCCCGCAACTTTCAAGCTGAAGCCCTTCACTGGGCACTGGGTCTCTGAGCCTGCAAGTAGCAGGGAGATCTATGGCCTTTGAAGGTGGACGGTTTGGGGCGGTATGGGTTTATAGGGCTTTCAGGGTTTATAGGGTGAAAGGGTTTAGGATTTGCGGTAGAGGTGTTTATGGGGTTTATAAGATTTAGGTTTTTTAGTCGAAGCCAGAATGTTGGAACATCATTATCCTCATGCCCGTGGCGTAAAGTACAGGGGATCCCAGCACTGATCATCCTAAAACCACGTTCCAACTTTCAAGAGTTCACTATAATGTTGGGTTACGAGGTGTAGGGTTTCGGTATCAGGTATGAAGGTTGAAAGGCCTAGGGTTCAGCTTTATAGCTGCGAGCTGGGGGCAGGTTGCAGACCTGCTCTTAGGACCCAGACGATACAAGATGCCGTTATCCAATGTTTCCTTGGACTCCAATGGTTCTTAGCATCCTTGACTGGGTTGGCCTTTAAACACCCTGAACAATATTTATATATAGGGCCCCTTATAAACCCAAATAACGAAAATAAAAAATGTCCCAAAATCCAACCTAGTTGATTGATCAAATCGGAAGTCATTGCAAGTTTAGGGATAGTGTTGTCTGCGGCTCCCTGTTGCTGCTTATAAGCCCCTAGCGCTGGATTCCTGAGTAGCCTCATGGGTGCCATTTTTCCTATTATTTCGCTGTAACTCCCTTAAAAAGGCCCCAAAACCCTAAGCCTTTACATGCCCATGCTTGAACATTCCAGGTGGCGGAGGCGGCGAGCTTCGCGTGCATCTTCATGGCATATAAGTTCTCCCAGCCGAAGGAAATCGTCCACTTTCAAGACGCCTCGATGCCATTCGGACCATAGATTTCAGGGTTCAAGGTTTGGGTTTTTGGTATACAGACATTGTACATACGTACATACAGAAATACATACATGCATACATTCATTCATTCATTCATTCATTCAAAAAATGTATCTATATATGTATATACGCACATCTATATGTAGATTGGTCTTGTGACTGCCATGAATATCCCGGCAGGGCCGAGCAATCAAAGGGCTTTGGGGTTGAGGAGGCGGAGCATTTGCTACAGGATGAGGTGTATTCAAGCTTCGGTTCCAAAGCTTCAAAGCTACCAGCACTTAGGACATTACCAACCATTGCTGCTCTGATATACACTCCAGCCCTCGCAAGCGGCACATACGATGACTATCGAGCGCGAGGAACACGTGTAGAGACGAAAGGCACCTGCACAAAAGCTTCGGACGTATAAGCAGGCGTGTGGGTGCATACGTACATACACACACGCATACATACCATACTTGTACATGAAATCTTCTGATAGTCGAACTGCCTTGCAGGCGATACCGGTGCTTGGAACATGCTTGAAGACAAGACAGAACCAGCTTAGCTGTTGGCATTCCCTGTAGTTTGCTTCGGGCATGAGTGCGGAAAACCTCCGAGTGTTTGACAGTTGGTACTGAAGCCTGAATGATGAGACAGCGGCTTCGCGGTGACATTCCAGTGATATTCTGGGAACTTGTTCCCTATTCAGGCCCTATATTGCAGTGTGTTGTTAAGGATCTTTTAGTGGGTCTGGAGCGCGAGGAGCTCCCTGCCACACCTACAGTCGGTAAGTTCCGTAGAAGCCGGACCAGGAAGCTAGCTTAGAGGCCCTAATTGGGAAACTTTCAGAATCCAATCAAGGTCTGTAACTCTAAACTCCATGCCCCAAACTAGCCTAGACCCTAATCGAGTGCTTTCAGCCTCCCCCAAGCGTTACGTGAAGACTTCAGCCACTAACTCCTTAATCGTATCCCTCATCGCATAATGTACACAGACCCTGCTCGAATTGCTACGACCCCTCTTCTACTAAGCCGCCTAATGCTGGGCACCCTGACACATTGGGAACTGGAGCAGGTCGAGATTCGAGATCGACCTGCCCAAACGACGGCTTCCGGACTTCACGAGGCTTTAAAAGTTAGGATGATGGCGGCTTTCGGGCTTACTTGGGGGGTCGGGGGACTTAGTAAGTAGTTAGTAAGTAGACTTATAAGTACACTAAAAGGGACCCTAATTGGGGTTATGGTACTTATAAGTCCGTAAAATAACCAGTTACTAAGTCCCCCGACCCTCCAAGTAGGCACCCGGATTGGGGTGTAGGGCTGTAGCGTTTAGGGCTTTGCAGGGTTAGGTGCGGGCTTCGGTGGTGAAAGCTTTTGTTGTGGAGTTGCCGGCTCTGGGGGTTTTAGGAAGACCTGAAGCATTAAGGTTCACAAACAACTACTATAAGGGTCTTATATACAAGCTAAACGAAATAGGTACCGTAAGAGGGTGTTATGAAAGATACAGACCCCTGCCCCTTCATGATGAGCGTTTATGCGGGTTTGGGTTCGTGGGTTTAGGGTTCGGGGTTCCCGTATGAAACCCTCTCATCCCCGATCCCTTCTACATGGCTTTCAGGCGAACTTCGAGAGACTGGGCACTCAGGAAGCGAACGCAAACAGAAACGGTAACTGCTGCTCAAGAGGTTGGGAATGAGCTAGACTTGTAATAGGAATCAAAAACCCTTCACAAGCCCCCTAATTCCCAATATGCAGAAACCTTAAAGTTTGGGACTTTGGTCTTTTCGGCAAAAAACCAACCTAATATAAACATTTCCGGCACCCGCAATTTCGCGGTTTCGGCCACGAATGAAAGTTAATTGCAGACATGAGGGGGTCTAGGATTCTATAAGCTTTAATGGAGCCAAGACTACAGCAGTACTAATCAAACGGAAAGGACCAGAACTTTACAAATTTGGGGCTTGCGTCTCAGGGCTTAAAATTTAGGGCTTCAGGGCTTCAGGGCTTGGGGCTCTAGGGCTTTCGCACGGTCGTTGTTTACTTGTCTGACTGTCGGGCTCAATGCTAATTGCTGTCAATCCGACTCATACCCGGATGCACCGAAACCCGCCAAAATCCCGAAACTTAGCAAAGCGAATAACCCTCCAACTACCAAGATGGAGGCAAAGTGCGCGAGGATGGTTCTTGAAATCCTGAGCCGGCCAGGTTAAGGAGGTCCTTCGTATGGCCCCACGTGCATTAACATGGGGTTATAGCCTACTAGCTTTGAAGGCTTGCTGTCCCAAGTTGGTTGGTTCTAAGTAGTTCTCGTTTAGGGCTTGCAGCCTGGAGTGCTCCTTGTTGAGTGGCTCTGAGGTTTGTAAGCTTGGCCGTTATTGGCTTAAGGCTTGGGGTAGTATGGCATATGACGGCATATGGGCGATATGTATGTGTCTGGTTTATTCTACTGGTGAACTGTTGTGATTCCGGAAGGAAGCCTCGTATATTTTAATTCACACTCTCACCTTCGATTCTGGGTCTTGCTTGGGTCAGGCTTGGAGGACTCCTTTACCAAGAGCTAAACTTTAGATGCATGATGCAACACGATGGCCATGGATTGGCTGACTTCTGAGCACCCCCCGACAAGATGCTGTAAGAACAGAAGCACAAAGAGTCGGAACCCTGAGCAGAGAGAGAACCAAGACGGGCCTAAGCAGTCTCACAGCTCCAGCGGCATGAGCCACACGTGTCTTATTATGTTTTGCTCGATGCAGCGTCCGACAAGGAAGACCTATCCAACACCTCGACCAACATCAGCGGACACGGGCGTCTCCAAAGGCGCATACATGTCCAAGCACATTGCACATACAACAAACGAACCTCGTCTTCCTTTTTGCAGCGCTATTTGTTCATTGGTCGGTTTCCCTCGCTACTAGAAGTATATCCTTCTTGCTACTTGATATACTGGCCAGCTTGCTGCCTGCAATCTGGGCCTTTGTCCGGCGCGTCTGCTCTTCGAAACACTGTGACAGACTTGCCAGAGTCTCGTTCAGGCCTGCGAACATGTCATCATCATCTTTCAAGTTTTCGAACAAGGCCAATTCGCCGTCCTCGTCCAAGGAATTAATGAGCCAGACCACTTCAGGCACCTTAATCTCCTCACATTTTCCGAGGACATCACCTACAGTGCCCGTCTGGATTCTTAGCTGCATCTGGAATGCCTCGACCTCATTCTCAAGAGTGCGGAAGCTCCGGTCGTTCTCAGCCACCGTGACTGTTGCCAAGACGCATGGAACCCCCACAGCTGCCACCAGTGGCGGAGTCGGAACAGCGAACGCAACTGCTGCTGCACATCCCACCCCAACTTCAAGAGTCTATTCCTGGATCTTGTTTCGAGCGATCCCGAGATCTTTTGCCAGTTTCGAGACATGCTCGAGCAGGCCTGCGTGCTCTTTCAGATCTGACTGAAGCCAAGAAACCCACTCCTCGATGGACGGCCTGACAAAGTACAAGAAGAACAAAGCTTTTCCAGCTGAAAGCTTGCTCCGTTTCTTCTCAAGAAACCTCACCCGTTTCTGCATCTTCTTCAAATGAAGAGACACATGGCAAGTTGCATCATGGTACTGAGGCATTAAGTCAGACTTGTAGGAGGACTCGTACTCTGTTTTCGTCGCAGCCGTAAGAGCAAGGCTGTGGAAATGGTGGACCAGCTTGTAAAAGGGCGACCCCAGAAACAATATCTCACCCAACTTCGAACCGAATGCTTGAATGGCCCGCTTGTTTTTGAAGAAGATTTGCGTGAGCTCGATTTCCGCGGAGGTCTCGGAGGCGTATTTGATGCCACCCCACCCAGCCTCAAATGTGGTAGAAGTCTGTGCTTTGCACCCGGATGAAGGCCACAAGCATGAGCTGGAGGACAGATGCTCTCCACAGAAGCTCAATGTCGCCCTTCTGGCTTGCCACTTGGCCGTTGCCTTCCTCCTGCTGCGCCTTGATGCAGCAGTCCTTGACTCTCTTTACCGGCATGTCTCGACTTGAGAAGCGTGCAGGCATGCGAGAACGTGAAAGGCTGACAAAGCACGATGCACGCCACACCGCGAGTGACATCACCATGATCATGCCAACCTGACGCCTCGAGGATGCCATAGCTGAAGCTGGCTCGTGTCAAGATGTGAAGGACTCCTTCGGGTTTGAGTTTGCACTCGCCGGCGGAAAGACATGGCTGCTGTCAACCTCTTTGCAAACCGGCTATCCTGCTCTAGTTTAGTCCGCAATACGAGAATCTCGTCGTAGGTTTTACAGTTTGGACGAGATGTTGAATCCTTGGCCGAAGAGACGGAAAACGTCAATGCAATAACAGCTTCAAGCACCCCCGCAGACACGGACAGGAAAATAAAGGAAGGAGCAAATGGTAGACGACTAAGGTGTAAGCTAGACGTGCGCTTAGACATAGAAAGCTGCCAACCATGGAACACTCCACGAACGTAATGGGGCTGCAAATAAGAAACACCGTGCACTGGGTGCAACAGGAATCATCAGCATCGACAGGCATCGCCAGAGACAGCGTGAAGAACAACACCAACATAATAAAACACGCCCGAGCTCCAGTAGAACTTCTCCACTCAAGCTCACTTCCGACCATACCCTTTTTGGAACAGGAGCTCGATCTTAAGGCAAGCAATACCCTTAGAACAACCCCGCTGTGCTTTTACTGGTTCTTTGTTGGGGCTATATTAAGACTGATCGATTATGTTTAATCTTACTAGGTTTCGTTATAACAAAAATGTCAAACTATAACCAACAAGGACCCAGTTGTAGGTGTGTATGCCTGGGGTCTGGAACCCTCAGACTGTTTGGGGATTGGGGTTTGGCAGTCTGACCCTAAACCCTAAACATTCTGAGCAAGCTTGGATTGGCCTGTGATTTATTGAAGGGAGGGTGCCTGCTTTATCAACTATGAGCTATAACCGAGACCCAAAGCCCTATTCCATCTGTCCAGAGCCCTGGTGTTGGGATTATAAAATCAAGGATCCAAACACGGAAGGATTTGCTGCGAGCCAAGCTGCACTTCCCGTCGATACTCTTCAAGCCTAGAGCAGCAGCAGTTCTTCTCAAAACTTGAAGACTTAAGGCTCCAACACTGGCTCTATAGGAATCTTATAAGCCTCTTGTGAGATTTGGCAGGGTTCTTGTTGGGTTCGGTTTAGAGTTCAGAACTGCCCTTTTGCAGTGTCTAAAGACTATAGTAGAAGCTCAAAAGTTGCAAACCCAATAGCCTCAACCCTTAAGAGTAATGTATAGGTATACCCCAGCACTATTCGGCCTTAATCAGGCTTCCAACTTTATGGGGTTTACTGTCGGGTGTAAGGCTTTGAGTTGGGAGTGCTTTTTGATGCCACGTAACGACAACGGTGCTGAAGAACATGAGCCAGCTGCATGCGATAACACTCCAAGAGCTGTTGTCCATGACTGTACCGAAGGATGGCTCAAATATTACTGGCACTAGACTAGACTTGTTTTAATATCATGATTAGATACCATTGATATTTCTTACTGTCATCACTCTTCCTACAAGTACGACTATAGTGATCTCACAAAAGTACCCTAACGGATCTCTTATAGTAACCCTACCCCTTAAAGGAACCCTACTCCAAACTATTACGGCCCCTATACGCGATTGTTCGCAACACTTACAGGTGCATGGTACTTAGTAACTAGGGACATAAATAAGGTAACTATACTTATTGTTGGTTGTATCCCGAGCTAAGGTACTAATTATTATAACTGTACATACTAAGCCCCATTAACCTCCAAGTAGTACCCTAAACCCTAAACCCAAACCCTATAGATCCCTTTAAGGAGCTCTTTAAGAACCATACTAAGTCCCATGAACTTCAAAAAAAAGCAGGCCTCAGGAGCTGCTGCGCGCGCTTGCGCATGGTGATGAGGATGCTGATGCCAAGGCCAACCCCGAGGAGCCCCGTCATGGGCAAGACTACCTCAGTAGCAGTAGCAGTACCCATAGGCCCCAAAGTAGTTCCATTTTGGGGTTCATATTTAGAATCCTATAAGGTAATCTCAAGAAGGAACTACTTTGGGGCCTGCTTTTGGGTTTAGTTTAGGCTTTGACTACCTCGAAAGCAGCTGACAGTGGTAGTAGTGCGAACGCGGAGTGGGAGTTTCCGAAAACAGGGGTCCCTTTCTTTTGGGTGTCCTTATAATAAGGATCCTACTATGTAGGTACTACAACAGGGTCCCCTCTTTTCGGAAACTCCCGAGTAGACCACCTCAGTAGCTTCAGGTTTAAGGTTTCAGGGCATCAGGAAGAGAAGAAGTCTGTGTTAGCTCTCTTCTTCAACAACCGGGCCCCAAAAAAGTTCAAACTTGCTAACATCGAGCCAATACATAAGGCCAAAATGGCTAAGTTAGTGGTAGTGATGGTAGTAGTGGGAGTGGGAGTAGACTACTTCAGCAGCAGTAGTAGGTGCTGGTGGTAGTGCTTGTGGTAGCAGGAGTAGTCATAGTACAGTGACAATCAGGGAAAAGACGTAGCGGTAGGAGGCTGTAGCGGTGGGTGTAGAGTCTTGCTGGTACTAGGGCTGATAGGACTTGAACGTGGGTCCGTTTAGAGCTCACATCCCACCGAATCGTCTTGTACGATGCTTAGGTGTGGGCTATTCCGAATGAACCCTATTCACAGGCACTCCTTTCCATAAATCCAACACCCTGAGCCACAAACCCCTTCAGGGTTCAGGATGTAGGTTTTACGGCAAGCCCCTCGAATAACAGCGAGTCCTGTAACTCTAGTTGTTCGGGCTTTCTAGGGGTGTTTGGTCGACAGGCTCTGGAGCACGGCACTTACTTGCTCTGCAGACCAATGAAACACGTCGACAAACAAACGTTACAAGGGCGGGATATCTTGTATATATAATTCTCCCTTGAGTATGTAAGCCGATAATCAAGGGATATCGCACAAAACAGCTTAAACCTCCTCGCCCTTCTTAACGTATAGGACCTCGTCTATAGGACCCAACTAAAGAACCCTGAAAGAAACCTCACAGTTTCACATTACTTTTCCCCAGGGGTCCAAAGGGACCCAATAATTAGGTACTCGGTTTTCGGATAGTAGTTATGTAAGTTACTATTTTGCAGAGTATTTGAGAATCAGGTACTTGGACCCTTAGGGTTTGGGTTTAGGGTTTACGGTAACTTAGGGTTTGGGAAGTGACAAAGCCTATAGAACCCCCAAAAGCCTTGTCTTAGTTGCTGAGTTCATAAGCATCAAAATGTTTATCTACACTTTCAGTTTTAAAGTGGGTAGTATTATCCGAAAAAGTGTACAGTGTATCCACTCAGCTACTAAGATGTACAGAAGCCTGCAAATCCCGAAAGCAAACACCAAGCCCGATAGACCCCTAGAGCCGCACTTAGTTATAAGTGGGGTTATAGGGGTTTAGGGCTCCTTTTAGGGTTCTATGGGCCTTTGAGGATTATGGGGTTCGTGGGTAGTTTTATAAGTGGGGTTATAAGTAGGGTAATCAAAATACTAGCCCATAATGGGGGACTTACAACGGCACGTATAACTACCCGGTACTTGGGGGGTCGGGGGACTTAGTAAGTAGTTAGTAAGTAGACTTATAAGTACCCTAAAAGGGACCCTAATTGAGGTTATGGTACTTATAAGTCCCTAAAATAACCAGTTACTAAGTCCCCCGACCCTCCAAGTAAACCCAAACATCCACATTTTAGCTCGCAAGAAGCTTCAAACCCTCAGACCTTCAACGTTATGTAAACCCTTAGGCCCTACCTAAAGAGTATAACTACCCGGTAACCTCCAAGCATTGCTGCAGCCGAAGGTGCCAGGAGCTGTCGCCAAAAGTCCGCCGACACGAGCGGCCAGCCATTTTGCGGCATAACCTTACGTGGAGGTTCATGGTACTTAGTGACTAGGGTTATGAATAAGGGAACTGTACTTATAATGGGTTATATCCGCAGATAAGGTACTTATAACTGTACTTACTAAGTCCAAGTACCGGGAACTAAAGGTTAACCGTTAACGCTTTTGGTTATTTTAAGACTATATAGCCACTATACTACCCCAAAGAAGATAAAGGTTACCTCTCTACTAATGGGCTTACGCAAGGGCTTTCTAGGATTCTCGCTGGGGAGGCAGTGCTTTCGCTGTCTTGCTGCACCTTATCGATCCCACTAG